ATGTATCCTCACACAATGGATCCGATCCATTGAATGAGAAACAAACGAAACATCCGATACTGTTCACTTCTGCAGAAAAAAAAAATCAGAATTAATTAACAGGAAAAATAGGAAGAATACATAAATATTCCATGCACTTCTTCAGATAATATGTTTAGTTTCTATTTAAACAAAAACGTACTTTCTCATGTTGCAATGAATGCAACGCTATCAGACATGTAGAGAAGTTAGGGTTAAAGGTAAAAATGAATATAAGCAGTAATAATTTTCACTTACCCTGCATTAATATTATAATAATAAGTAAGAATTGACCGATCCTTCGTACCGGTCTGTCCACTAAAAAACTTATGCGAGGCGCCATACACGCCTTACGCCAAAGTAGTAGAAAATGTTCGGATCGGTTATATCACTTGTTTGAATGAATTATCACTTGTAAAATAACTAATCATCGGCTGGGATAATCGATACTGACAATTCACCTCAAAGGCACTGCCAACAATTATAGCAATGATAATATTAGAGTAATTTAGAAGAGAGAGATGAGTAGCTGTTAATAACTCGAAGTGAAATGCCGAGCGGATATCCTCCACCCGTTGCAGAAATCTGCATTATCACACCATAACGTCAATCCTTATTTCAAAAAACATTAAAAAATAAAAGGACACTTCTATTCTTTCGGAAAATATGCTTGTGATTATTCCTTATCTTTCTGCTTGTTTTTCCACCAACAGATTATTGCTATGCTGAAAGTGAATTTGGATGATTTAAAGACTTTTATGTATTTCAATTTCGTTATATCGTCGTAAGAAACATTGTGAAATTAATCCGAAATTTTGAAACAATTCACAAAAAGCATTCATTGGAAGAAGTCTAATAATCGGAATTAAAACAATTTTTAAAGTAAGTCCGAAATTCCAAAACAATCACAGAAATTGAATGCTATTTCATGAATCGAAGCTTAATCGGCTCTTCTTATTGACAGGAGAAATGCTAAAGAAAATCACAAATTGTGGTACATGAATCTTTGAAATGTTCATAATATCCATAGTCAATTCAAACATTTGCCAGTAAATTTATCAATTTAACCATAATAATTTGTAAAATAATTGGTTAATAAAGCAATTTCACCGAAAATAAATTCTTCAAATTAGCACACAAAAATTATTAACTATTGAAAGACAAGATATGAAGTAGAATGTTTAATTTAAAAAAAAAAACAATTGAAGATACTTAAAAATTGCCATCTATTTAAGACATAATTTGCTTGAAGTGTATCAATCACGAATTAACAATAAGCATGAATTTTTGACGATGGCTTCTTTATCATGATCCACAGATGTTAACATTCACAGACGTATACATAAATCCACAGATGTATACATTTTAATCATTCACTCTTTACAGTAAGTACATTAAATAGTAAGTACATTAAATTAAAATATCGAAGTGAAAAAATGTCATCAATTTTTTTTTGCTTTTCCTCGAATGTATTAGTAGCTCATTTAGATCTTATTTTTACTCTGATCAACTTGATTTGATCTGGATTATGGGTACTAGCATAGTGAAAGAAAATTAAGAATGGGAAACGATTATAATTCTGTGATATCTCTTTTAGTTTCTAGTGTTTTATGAGTTATCTTTCAATGATTATTTCTTCAATTAAAAAAGAAAGTTCAATCATTAGCTCATACTTCAACAATAAAATGAATTGTATGAACAATGAAATCAAACTTCTTTTAATTTTATCGTCAATGATATTACTGGGAATATGCAAATGATATTGTTAATAGCAATGATAAGAGGAATATGAAATAGCGTGAAATGTGCAAATTTTTATGAAATTTAGTTAGGTGAGAGAGGAAAGAGATGCACAGAGGAAAGTCTAGGAATTCTTATCATATATTTATCAGTGTTCATTTCTGCTTTGAGATAGCAAATTTTTTTTAATGCTACAAATTGTTTGAAATGAGTTGGAAAGAAGTGCAAAAATAGAGAATGTTTTAGTGAAAAAAAGAAAAAAGCCAGAATTCATATTGTTTATTCAGAAATAACAACACAGATGGATGCAATAGCGGTAATAATTTGGATGAAATGAAAGAGAAGAGAGAATTTAGGATAAAAAAAGAAATGAAGAAATTGGAAATTGAATCATTTCCTGGAAAAAGTGAAAGGATAGAATGAATTAAAAAATTGTAAGCAATGAGGATATTTAGATATTTAAATATATTTGCATCAAGAAAGCATTATGGGAATCACTGAGGCATTTATTCTAATAATTTTTTCAAAAAATAATTATTTCAAAAGATATGAATTAATAAATGCAGTTGAAAATAAAAGTGATCAATGTAAAATAGAAGTAACGAATGATCATATTTTTCGATTGGTTTTGGATATCACTGAAAAGAGATGGTATTTCGGGATCTGTTTCATACGCGCTTTTTTTTCCTCTTTTGAGATCCCTCAACAGTAAGGGATAAAAGACTCTCGAGGATTAATTTCCATTTCCGAAAAATTTTTTGAATGTTTTCATTAGCTGCTAAACAAACCTAATGATTCTCATGCTATTTTATCTTTTATTCAAATGTCAAAGTATCTATTTGAAATATATTCCTGAAATCTTTATTCCAAGAATAATAATCGATCTGATAAAGCTATTTAAATATCTCAACAAAAGCAATGAATTTTGAATGCTGTAGAAAAAAAAACCTTTCTGCTAATCCTTTCTGCTTACAAGGCTCTCGAAATCGAAAATGAATAAGCAATTCCGAAAATTGCTTATGTCAATGGGAACGCTGAGACCTATTATAATCTTTCCATTATAAAAGACATCGTAAAAATATCATTCAGACATATGTAATTTCGGTATGATTTTCCGGAAAATGGAAGAAAAATTGAATGATATGAAGGATATTTTCATAGTTTACAAAAACCATGAAATTTAGATTAAAATATATAGAGTTAAATAGATTTTTAACATATAAAAAAGCAAATAAACAAAATTATTGCCCCATATATTAATTATATTTATATTTTAATCTAAATAACTCATAAGTAATTATAGAAAAGTAAAGTTAATTGATATATTTGATTGGCGAAAGACTTGCTTTGCTTGCACTTATTTGATGTAATCAAATGATATCTATAAAAGTATATTCAAGAAAAAGCCATCCGTATCCATCATCTGATAAGCTATCATTTAGATAGCTTAGTAAAATAGAGACAATGGATTTAGATTCAAACATATGAATTATTTAGCTTAAGCCTAGGCTTCGATCATATATAGCACAAGTAATCAGCACTACGGCAACATTTATATCACAAAAAAGATAAGGGTAAAGCTATAGCTATATCAAATGATAAGATGATAAGTCATCTGGAACGTTTAATGAAATTGCTGAATCTTTCAAGATGGCACGAACATCACACTATTAAATATTATAACTTTTGGTGACAGACTAATTGATCCTATTAAAAAAAAACTTGAAATAAATAGTGAAGATAATATTACACATTAGCCAAGTTAAGAGATTCTAATGTGTTTACCGCTGATTAACCGATCATTTTCAATTGAAAAGTTCAAAGAGAAAATGATGCATGAAAAAGATCGTATGAAAGATAAAAAGCTAATTTCAGACAGATGTTCGTTTACTATAGAGAGACATTGAAAATGAAGGGATGAAAATAGAGTTGAATTTGAAAGAGAATTTAATGCTCTCTATAACATATAAAATGTTTTTCAGTGGTGAAAAATTGGTCCATCTGAAACGATAGAAGTAAGAGAAAAATGAGGAACAGAAGCCTGAAAAGCCAAAAGCCTATAGAACTGATGAAAGTGGAAATTAAAGAGAGAGAGAGAGAGAGAGAGAGAGAGGGAGAGAGGGAGAGAAAGGGAATGAATGAATTAAAGAAGAATGAAAAAAAAGGGAAGAGAACCTGTCTATTTGTCAAAAGATATATTTGATAAAATGAATTCTTTCCTTTTTCTTTCTCTTCACATTGTTGGCCACTAAAAAGTTCCTTCAAATTCACTAATCCAGAACTAAAACGTCAAGTTCTTTAGTCATTCTTTTATAAATACGTTAATAAACTCATTGCATAACTCTACAATCTTGCAAATCTGCTAAAATACTAACTATTGCTGAAATAAATCGATCAACAAAAGCAGCAACAGCAATAATAGTAGTAGTAGTAGTAGTAGTAGTAGTAGTAGTAGT